GGTGTTTTTTGAGGTTATGGCGGAACCCCGACCCGATAGGGTTTAATGGACCTCGGATTCGGATTCAGCGACCCCAAAAACATATAATAAACATGGTCTGATCCCCAGGCCAAAGAAATTTTTTTTTTTGTGTGGCTGTGTAATTAGATTGTTACTAATTTGTGTTCTGTTTGTAAAAAAACGGATAAATAATTGTACGCATGTAAAAATGTAAAAATATATGCAACATGTTTTAAAGCACACACAATTCTTTGTAATATTTGTTGAACGTTATACCTTTGAAAGAAAATATTATATCCTTGAAAAGTAGAAAACAGACANTGAGTAAACACGAGAAAATTTCCGTTACATTGTGAGAAACAAGATTTCATCTATTTGACTGGTAACAGCGAGAGTAGACAGAAAAGAAGAAAAGTGTGCAGTGCTAATTAAATTAGAAGATACATTAAAATGGAAGGTGTACCTGGTTCTTCATCGAATGAATGTGATAGTACATCAATTCACAGTGACGAGTCAAAATTACTGCTAAAAGATGCCATTGTTTATCTGGAACAATTACTTTTCGAAAATGATCTTCCATTTTAATGTATCTTCCAATTTAATTAGCACTGCACACTTTTCTTCTTTTCTGTCTACTCTCGCTGTTACCAGTCAAATAGATGAAATCTTGTTTCTCACAATGTAACGGAAATTTTCTCGTGTTTACTCAGTGTCTGTTTTCTACTTTTCAAGGATATAATATTTTCTTTCAAAGGTATAACGTTCAACAAATATTACAAAGAAATGTGTGTGCTTTAAACATATTGCATATTTTTACATGTTGCGTACAATTATTTATCCGTTTTTTACAAACAGAACACAAATTAGTAACAATCTAATTATTTTTACCGTATGTTTTACATCACGGACTTTTTATGCAACAAATGCACTTTTATAACATGCAATAAATAAATAAAAAACGTAATATTTACATTTAGATTATATTGTAACATTTGAAAAAAAAAAAAATATATTGAGACTCGAACCAGCAGCGTCGACACTACTAACCTTGTACGCTACCGCTACGCTACGCGCTCTTCGATTAACCTTTAGAAGGCCGGAAAACTAATATTTTGGCGCACCAGAATAACTTGTTCAATTTCTTTTTTTTATTAAATATTAATGTTCTTAATATTATTAGCAATTTTTAATATTATTTAATGTCAATTTGCCCGTCCCTCCCCCACTCACCCCGTACCCCTAATTTTCATGTGAGATATTCTAAAATAAATACATGGCTTGATTCGCGTGCGGATGCAATTATAAACAAATTTATTTTTATTTAGGGTTTTTGAAGTTGCTATTTACTAGTAAAACAATTTGGCAAAATTGTGAATAGCAGATCAAAAATATATTTATTGATTACGCCTGCCCGTTTATCGTCGTCCGTCCTTGCCATACGTGAGAACGGCGCGTCGGAGCACCTGTCGCCTCGCGTTCTCTGTTAGGTCAGGCTCGAGATACACTTATTTTTTTTACTTGTGTTGATACATTTTCCGTTACTTTTTATTTTCCTCGTACTTTATTACCTTTGCTATACAATGAATACAGGTGATGACGAAGCTTGGAGTAGTGGAGAGTCAGAGCCTGAAGAAGATGTTATTACAGACAGAACTATTGCTTATGATGTTGATTTACTTGATAACGAACGTGATGAGAATATACCAGATGTACACTATGATCCTTATTTTTACCCATCTATAAAAACTTTTACTGGTGAAACACGTATTCGTGATCACGTGTCTCTAGACAAACCTACTCCATTAGAATGTTTGAAATATTTTTTTAATACATTCTTTGTAAATTTGATTGTAGAACAAACCAATCTTTTTCAAGAACAAAATCCCGAACCGGATCGAATACATATGAAGCCGTGGACTCCTATCACTGAAGACGAATTATGGATAATGATTGCTTTATCAATAAACATGGGTCATGTTGTAAAAGGGCAATTAAAGGATTATTGAAGCCAAGATCCACTGCTGTACACTCCAATATACGGCGAAAATCTATCTCGAAATAGATATCTTCAAATTTTACGATACCTTCACTTTTCTAATAATGAAGAAGTTTCCAATCATCCTTTGAAAAAAATCAAACCAGTGATAAATCATTTGAAAAAAAAAGTTTGGTAATACTATTATNTATAAACAAATTTATTTTTATTTAGGGTTTTTGAAGTTGCTATTTACTAGTAAAACAATTTGGCAAAATTGTGAATAGCAGATCAAAAATATATTTATTGATTACGCCTGCCCGTTTATCGTCGTCCGTCCTTGCCATACGTGAGAACGGCGCGTCGGAGCACCTGTCGCCTCGCGTTCTCTGTTAGGTCAGGCTCGAGATACACTTATTTTTTTTACTTGTGTTGATACATTTTCCGTTACTTTTTATTTTCCTCGTACTTTATTACCTTTGCTATACAATGAATACAGGTGATGACGAAGCTTGGAGTAGTGGAGAGTCAGAGCCTGAAGAAGATGTTATTACAGACAGAACTATTGCTTATGATGTTGATTTACTTGATAACGAACGTGATGAGAATATACCAGATGTACACTATGATCCTTATTTTTACCCATCTATAAAAACTTTTACTGGTGAAACACGTATTCGTGATCACGTGTCTCTAGACAAACCTACTCCATTAGAATGTTTGAAATATTTTTTTAATACATTC